TTAAAAATAAAATATTATGAATTTAAGTTACATATTATACAAATAGAATAAGATAAAAAATAAAAAATAATTATTTATTATTATGGAACCAACATAAAAAAAACAAAAAGTTGGGCACTTCTCCACTAACAACTCAAATTTTCTTATCTAATGCAATTCGAATGGCAAATCGATGACTTTGTTAATTAATTTTTCAATGACGGCAAAGTAATGGAAGAAAGAAGTAATTAAGGGTTTAAGCCCCACTCCTTGCCGATGGGTTTAGCACTTAGCTCTAGGCTATCTGAGCCGCCAACCTGGAAAATGTGCCAGCACCCAGCAGTTTCTTTTTGGTTGGATCAATTTTTCGACAGCCTCTTCATTGTCTCGATGTGGTTTTTGGTGGGTTTCCACTTTCCACTCATCTTCCCGAGATTTTATTCCAAAACCCAACACAGATTACTGCTACTCATAATATATAAATACACAAAGCACGCTTCTACCAAAAAAAATACACAAAGCACGCGATCCTATTCAAAAAAATCTTCAATTTCAGTCTTGATTCATTTACACAAGTCCTTATCAGGCTAAACATGCAATTACCCAGAAAAGTACTTATTAGGCTTAACAGTAAACACGCTTTATATATGAATTAAATTCAATCTTTTTTTACCAGAGAGAAATTGGAGAAAAGGGGATAAGAGGTTGTTACTGCAGCAATTTGAATTTTGACAATTACCGAGAGCTTAGTGCACTTAGATCAATGCACTCAAAAGCTGTGGGTGTGAATTAAATTCAATTTAATCACGTGAAGAACCAAAAAACATGTGATTGGATATTCAAACATCAACTTTTTTAAGTTAGTTATTTAGATAGTTCCGTTTTTAAATCTTAATATTTAAAAATAATTAATTAAAAATTTTAATCTCATTAATTATTTAAATATGGATATTTAATTTACAGATTATAAATGCTTCTTCTGATCCATGGACAGAACTTATTTCCTTCCCCTTTCTCCCAAAATTATCCTAACTCAAAAAGAAAAAAAAAAAAATTTCCAACATCACTTCTAATCCAATGCTATGATCATTGTCCTATACTCCAAACATATGCCTTAAACTTCTGGATATGTTAACTCATCTGAAATGGTAGAACCATACGCAAAGTCAGAAGGGGACATAAGTATTTTTATGCTTATCATTTACTAGTGTTGAATTAATGTGCCAGCACCCAGCAGTTTCTTTTTGGTCGGATCAATTTTTCGACAGCCTCTTCATTGTCTCGATGTGGTTTTTGGTGGGTTTCCACTTAGCACTCATCTTCCCGAGATTGTATTCCAAAACCCAATACGGATTACTGCTACTAATAATATATAAATACACAAA